CCCCTTTTGAGACCCGAGCTCCTCCCAATGGACCTCGGGCCACTCCCAAGCAAGAACGCACTGATTCTTCTTCAGACGCCCCGAGGCACAAAGACCTCGGGTCGGCTAGCTCGGCATAACCGGCTATAGGCAACCCGTCACTCAAAGGACAGCCTAGCTCAGGGTAATTCGCTGGATAACAGTTTGGTATACCTTAGGAGGGCTTCCAGCCCGACCGCCGTACCCGACAAACCTGCGAATAGCAGGCATGTTCCCTCACCGCGCCTGCCACCCTTAGAAAGGCGTCCCACACCTGACAGACACGTACCCTACACGATGGCCCCGTCCGTGCCACCTCAGCCCTGCCTGTAACGGCTGTGGCAGATTGACAATGGCGGTCATACCTGCCCTGTCAGAAGTCAGAGGGCCTAAAGCAACGAAATTCAGTTATAAGGAGCTTATTCTCAAGGAACAAGGTATCTTGAATGACTAGCGCAACCTGCACTCTTAGTTTTCGTTCTCCTTCAGCTTCTTGCACACAATACTAACTTAAGCATCGAAGCGTTCCTGCCGGGAAACCCCCCGGGAGTTCTTCCTCTTTCCTCTCGTTTCAGGTACCTCTTAGGAGCCACGCGAGCGCCAGCTAGGAGTGACCGGATTGTGCTACATCAGAAACCATTTTCCTATGTATATGGTAAGTAAATGAATGGTCCAACCCTTTAGACCAAATAGGTTAAGCCGTGATGTCATAATTAAATAATAAATATTTAAAAGATAAAAACATAAAAAATACAAAAGTAAGTATATAAGTTTTGTAGAAAAACATTTGAGCACATCTATAATATTATATATTCATCATATTAAACAAAAATAAATGTGAAAAATAATATTTTTTACTAATAATGAAAATGGAATACAATAACATTGACCCAAGAGTAAATTAGTTTTTATGTCCATGCAAGCAGTGAGACAAAAATTCAAGTGTTCAACCATCTAGGTCAAATGGGTATACCTCAATGTCATAAGTAATAATAAAAATAAAAAAATATTTTTCTATTCATTATATTAAGAGTATAAATGTAATAAATAAAAATTATTTTTATTAATGATGGACATGAAATGCAAAAATCAAGGAAATTTCAAACTTGTGACCCCACTAAGTCAAACTGTTGGATGGTTCAAATAGTTAGGTCACCATATTGTTGATTGAGCTAATAATTAATTTGATAATAAATGGATCCAAAATATGGATCTAGTGGATCAACTAGTTGATTGATTGATTTGACCATGAGATAGAAAACACTAATAAAAATGCAATGTCCTAAAAATTGAACAAAATCACATTTCTTTTATAATCAAATAAGTGAACTTGTGATGTCATAACTTAAATAATAAAAATATAGAAAACATTGTAGAATTTACAAAAAATTAAGCATGTCTTTAATATTATATATTCATCATATTAAACAAAAAGTACTTTGTTGCCTGAGAAATATTGTGATTAATGATAGAAAGAGCTAAAATACAAAAAAGAACAAAGAAAACAAATGTCACACTACTATTGTTATTGCTAGTAGGGTTGGCCACGAGCCAAGCTCTTCTCAAACTACTCAAGCTCGACTCGGTTTCAACCGAGATTCGAGCTGAGCTCGAGCCCAATTTATAGGCTTATTTATTAATCGAGCCAAGCTCAAGCCTAATAAAGTTCAGCTTGTGAGGCTCCCGAGTTGGCTTGAATAACTATGTACATACATATAATAATAATAATAATAATAAAATTATAAAAATATTATATATAATATTTTTATTTTTATATATAATAATAAATAATTATTATAAATTCTTAATTTTTTAAATATCAACTAAAAAATATTTTTATATATAATTTTTTTTTTATAAAACATTTTTCTCAAGTTGAGCTCGAGCTCAAAGTTCTAGCTCGAACCAAGCTCGAGCCTCGTACTACTTTGACAAACTAAGCCCAAATAACCTCGGCTCAACTCGAATCCACATCTAATTGCTAGTGATAGTGATTTTTTTGTTATTGTAGTTTTATTATTGTTGTCATTCAAAACTATCAAATGCATGTGTTCAATTACTAGTATATAATAAATGTATAATCATTGATTTTCTAATTTTGAATAATAAACATAGAAAAGCATTTACTTTCAAAAGCACTTAATAGATAATGAGAGAGAAAGAACAGTATGGGCTCGGTTTTGTTTCCTTATTTGGAGTAAATTACATACAGCACCCTGAATTTTTTATAATTATGATAAACTTTTTTGAGTTTCTAAAGTCATGTCACTCATAAGTCATAATTAAGGGACGTTTGATAAAAACGAAGTTGTGGAGAGAGAGAGAGAGAGTACCTCATTTAATGAGGATTTCCCCCACTAAGATTAAACCATAAACAAAATGAGGTGATTAATATTAAGCATATTATCTGCCAAACTGGCATCCATGCCCATTTCCAATCAATTCATAAATTTCTTAGAGAAGCTAGCTTAAGATCTTGGCGCAACTTAACCGTTTTGGCGGGACCCCTAAAATTATATCTCAATTTTTTATTATTTTTAATTTTATTTGTTAATAACAAACGCCGGGATGCATGGTGCGTTACGTTATTCCTGTTTTAGTTAAAATTTGACCGCCGGCTACTAAATGGGTCATTTTTTTGTTCGGATTTGCCAATCTTTCCTAACTTTAATTAAGACCGCCGGAGAAAACCGCCGGCCTAGGCCGTTTTTCTTGTAGTGCATGGATGATCTCTTTCTCTTTTTGTGTTTGTGTTTGAAACCAAAATACCCATTATTTTAATTCACAATAATATGGGTATTTTTTATCAAACAAAATAGATAATAAATGTGCAATCATTACTCTTTACTTTTGAATAATAAATATAAAAGATCATTACTTTCAAGAGCACTTATTAGAGATAAATTAAAAGATCATAATAAATATGGGCTTCTTTTGTTTACTTTTCTAAAGTAAATCATAGAGCACCCTCAAATTTTTGATAACTACAATAAATTTATTTGAGTTTCTGAAATTATGTCACTCACAATTAAGGGTAGTTTGATAAAAAACTGAAATGGTTGAATTAAAGGATGATTAATTTGTATTTTATGGATACAATGATTAAATAATAAAATATTCAAGATTATAGTAATCAACTCAATTTCAGCTTCAACACTAACAAGTTCAATATAATCTTAATAACTCAATTACTAAAAGTTAAAACAATTGCCATCAACCATTTTGTTGTTAACAAACGTTTATTAAGCGTGAAGACACAATACTCAAATTCCATTTTAATTAAGATTTAAAATTCATTTAAAATAAATAAATAGCTAAAAATTATATAACAATATAAAATTAGAATCAACTCACTACAATAAAAAAGGGAAGTAAGGGTTTAAGGTCAACGTATCCCCAATTCTAAGCATTGGGCTCAAGGCCAAAGCTTGAGGTCAAGCCTGATCTTGGGTTAAGCTTATATTGGTCAATTGGGCTTTGGTGGGCTTATTCAGTCAAATGTATTAAAAAGTTGTATGAACCTATTTAGTATGAATAATTTAAACCTTCACATATGAAATTTGTGTATTTTGTATGTAACCGGGGGTAGGTTCAAGTTAGGCTAAGGTTGGATCGGGCTTGGGTCAGGTTCATGCTACCTGAAGGTTATGTTCAACAGCTCAAGCCCATCTTAAAAGATAGGAATTCCAGTTTTGATTCCGGACTCAACTTGAGGATTTAGAATCCAAGCCCAACTTGAAGATGAAAGCCTTAGTTCTTCTTTCTTCTCGTGGGGTCAAAAGTTTCAAGTGAAAAACAAAAATATCTCTTTACCTTCCTTAGGTTGACGTGAATGGAGGCACTAAAATAACAATTATGCCCCATCACATTTCATGCAAAACTGAAAATGTCTTTCAGGCATTATAGTCGAACCCAAAAGTAAAATATCTTTTACCAAATTTATCCTTCAATTGACAAAGAAATAAATCTCACTTTGCAAGGACCAAGGGTATGCTTCATAAAATATTAGGGGTGAGCATTCGGTTTATTTGGTTAAAAACTGAACTGAATAAATCAACATTTTAAAAACTGAATTAAAAAAGTAAAAGTCAAATCGAAACCAAAATTTAGAAAAACCGAAATAACTGAAACTGAATTTTTTGATTCGGTTTTCGGTTATTTCGATTAAAACCAATTTTTAACAATATATACTCTATTATATATATATTATAACATATGATATATATTATAAAATCAAATTTTAGTATATTATATATTAATATATAAATATATAATATGTTACATATTATATATTATATATTGCATATAATAATAAAAAATTCAGTTAATTCAGTTAACCGAAATCTAAAATTAAATTAGCCAAAAATCAAATTACTAATCAAAAACCAAAAAAACCAAACCAAAATTTTAGGTTTGATTATTCAGTTTTAACCGAATAGTGCTCACTCCTAAAATCAATAATTTATAATCTCAATTTGGAAAGATTATAAATACAAATTTATACAATACAAATACATACAAATTAATACAAAATATAAGATTTTAGTACTTCCAAACTTAGCCCAAGGCAAAGTTTGTATTGGTTATTGAATATGTATAAAATCCACTTTGTGGTATTTCGGCCAATAGATACTCCAAATATCTAGGTAGAAATTTGGAGAAAAAAAGTATAAAGAGACGTTAAGCATTGGTCATAAAAGACAAGGGAGGTTTAAGTAATTTTGCCCAATATTTTAACAGATTCCTCGTTATCAGAAGAGGTGATGAAAATTGAGGGGCGTAGACTCGTACTATGATTGGGACGTGTGTATCGTTTCACACAGTAGCGGATCCGACCCTAGACACGATGCGCTGTAGACTACGCAATGTACGCAATCAATGTGAGACAGGTGTTAAGAACTCGTTTTACATGTATCCCATACCTTCGGGCGAAATTAATGGAGTTTTATTTTTCTTTTTTTAATTTTAATTTAATAAAAAATTCTGAAATTGGATGCCTGAGCTGAAGCCCTAAGCTCCTAATCGACCAACCCCTTCTCCCCCAATTTTTCTGCCCTTTTCCGAAACCCTATCCTCTCCCGTCCCGGCCTGCAACTCCGGCCTCCGACGAAGGTGACGGCGACCTTCTCCCTGCCGCTGCATCTCCCTTCCAGCCGCCAATACCGGCCTGCAACAACGCCGTCTTCTCCAGTTCTTTAGAGAGAAGTCCGAAGTCCGAACAACCTGAAACCCTCAATGCTGGCTGTTGGGGATCTCTTTACAGCCATCTGTAGCACATCGACAGAACATACTGTTGTGTAGTAAGTTACATTTGCTGTGTCTGTTTAGAGAATAGCCTGAGACTTGCACTCTCAAGTTTTCCTTACCAGCCACTAACACGTAGCACATTTAAGTATCTCAGCTAGACAAATGTTTTCCAACACCAACTCTAAAATGAAAGATTGAGATGAATATGATTAAATAATCTTCCTCTTACGTCTCATCCCCTCAATCATCCCATTGTTTTCTAAATCACTGAAGCAAGTCTAATCAAGTGGCAACTCGACCTATAATTTGGCTCTTTCAGTTTGGAAACCAAAACGGCAAACATTTAAAATTGAAACAAGCTCGAGCAACTTGCCATGGATCCATGTTCGCTTTGGAAAGAAGTTGTTCAGAAATGAAGCAAAAGCTAGAGATTAAACAGAGTATAGCAACAGAGTAAAGGAACACACCAGTTAACATGTATGAACTAGTATTGCTCTTAAAAGTTCAGAGTCTTTTACAAATGGCTAGAAATAAGTAAATCAATACCATCAGAAACTATTGATAAGAAATAAGAAAAACATTGTCAGAAACTGGAAAAAGCATCAAGCCATCAAAACCCGGAAGCTTTTCCAAGTTAAGATCAAATTAATGAGTTCTTATGGGCAAATGGAAGATATGGTTAGACAGAAAAAGAAAATGAGTTCTTTCGTTCACCCCACTCAAAGAGACATTAATGAAAGAGAGTTTGTTTTTCTCATAAGTAAGATGGGCTCTCTTCATGATATATATCTTCTTTTCAGTCTTTTATTCAAGATCCATAGTTCAATTTCCAACATTAAAATCTTTTATCATCCCCTCAAAATCCATTTGTCCTCAAGGATCTCAGGAACTCAATTTCAGAAATCATAAGGATTAAGAATTGGTGTTGTCTTTTTTCCTAAGCTTTCTAAGTTTATATTTTTTTTAATTATTGAACAATGAATTTGTGTTTGTCTAAATCTTCTCTGCTGAATGATTCCAGAACATAATACCCGTTTCTCCATGTATGTGTAAAGCTTAATCTTGATTTGTGGCTTCATGTGTGGCTTTGTAAAGCTTAATCTTGAACTACAAACAGCTTTTGATTCAACAAATCCCCATGCAATGTTTTCATGTTATTAGCAAAGAAAACAATGGCATATGGTATTATGGGGAAAATTTTGCAGTATAAAATGTTTTTTCGATTTAATTTATAAAAAAATGATTTGGATTTGCATTTTAGAGCAAAAGTTAACATTTTACATGTAGTTACTTCAGTTGCTACAATAAAACTAATGTCATTCCAGAATTTCAACAAATTTACTCAGTTAATATATATTTTTCTAAAATCCATCAAAAATATATTTTTCTAGATAACAGTGAATAGTTCCATTCTTTTTACTGGTATGGTGGTTTCAATTTCCATAAAAAAAATATAAATTGAAATGAAGTTTCCCTTTCATTCATGTAGCTTTTGTAAATGATTTTAAACAATAAATTTGTTTCATTTTTAGAATACAACTATTCCATACTCTCATTGAAGATAAATTTGCACTTATTTCCTTTTTTGTCAAGTTGATTGCTTTCTTTCTCTTTATATGTTTAATAGCTGGGACAAAATTATGTCATGTATAACAGGTTGATCAAAAAGAGTATGGAGGTTGATCCTCACTCTACACGTAGGCTGGCTTTTGAACCAGATGGTGACAAACATCAACATATTGATATTGCCAATGATTTACTAGAGGTAAATGAACCAGCTAAGCTTATTAAGCTAGATAGAGGAAAATGCATTGCTGATGATTTTCCTAATGTTGAAGATCAGAGCTTTGATGCAAGTACAAAAAATAAGCTCCAAGAAACATGTTTCCATATTCCTGAAGAGTGGATCCCAAAAGTTGGTATGGTGTTTAAAACAGAAGATGAAGCATATGATTTTTATAATAGATATGCTGGAAAGATGGGATTCAGTGCTAGAAAGGCTAATAGAACATTGTGCAACTATACACGTGAAACAAGATTCAGGAAATTTTGTTGTTTTAGAGAGGGGAAGCGTGTCCTAGATAAACGCAGACTCAATGTCAAACGACCCCGACCAGAGACAAGATGTGGTTGTATGGCAGAAATGAAAATAAGTCGTAGAGAAGATGGTTTCTTTCATGTGATTGCCTTTAATGAGGCTCATAACCATATTATTGTAAGCCCCACGACAGCACATATGTTAAGATCACAAAGAAAGATCTCCAAGGCACAATCTGCTCAAGCTAAAATGGTAGATGATTCGGGGATGACTCCAAAAGCATCAACAGAGTCGATGGCCAAATGTTCTGATGGATGTGAGAATGTTGGATTCACTTCTATGGATCTAAACAATAACTTGCCTTCATGTCGGACTAGAAATATGAAAAAGGGAGAAGCAGGTGGTATTATACAATATTTTCAAGACATGCGTTTAAAAGATCCATCTTTTGTTTATGCTATACAATTGGACCAAGCTGAGTTAGTTACAAATTTGTTTTGGGCAGATGCACAAATGATAGTAGACTATGGCCATTTTGGTGATGTTGTATGTTTTGATACAACATGCAAAACCAACAATGAGAATCGACCATTTACACTATTTGTAGGGGTGAATAATTATAAGAATTTAATCATTTTTGGTGCTGCATTGTTGTATGATGAAACTGTAGATACATTTGAGTGGCTATTTAAGACTTTCATCAAAACAATGGGTGGAAAAAAACCAAAGACAATTCTAACAGATGATGATGCAGCTATGGCAAAAGCAATCAATTTGGTGTTTCCAGAAACACATCATCGGTTATGCGTTTGGCATATGTTCCAAAATACTACAAAACACCTTCGTTGTGTAATTGATAATTTTGAGATATTTTCTAAGGATTTCAGCAGTTGTGTATATGATTATGAAAATGTGGATGAATTTGAAAATGCATGGGAAAGTATGATTAACAAGTATAATCTTCAAGAGAATAATTGGTTGCGTAAGTTGTATAATGAAAGGCATAGATGGGATCTAGTATTTGGGCGGCACTCGTTTTCTGCAGACATAAGCATAACATTGAGAAATGAGAGGATGAATGGATGTCTCAGAAAATATCTTAATATCAAACATGATTTGTCAAGGTTCCTCTTACATTTTGAGAAAGTGGTTGCAGACAAGCGATATGAAGAGTTGAAAGCTGAATTTGCAGCAACACAAAGCATGCCAACCTTGACAGTACAAGTGGAGATATTGAAGTATGTTTCTCGTATATATACCCCTCCTATTTTTTCCATGTTTTACAATGAAGTATGGCAACAACTGAATTGCAGCATTGAAGAAGATCATGTTGTGTCTGAAACAATAACCGAGTATATAGTTAGTGTGTCTGGAAAAAATCGTCAATACACAGTTGCTTTTAACTCATCAGATGATTCAATCAGCTGTAGTTGCAAAAAGTTTGACTATATTGGGATTTTATGTGGACATGCACTAAAAGTACTTGATTATAGACGAATCAAGATGATCCCCCCACGTTATATATTGAGAAGGTGGACTGTTGATGCGAAGGTGACAGATATTGTAACATCTTGTAGCTCTACCATATCTTCTGACCAAAGCGCAAAAACAATAATGCGTTATAGAGAAATGTATCATTTGCTAATCCAAATAGCAAAAAGAGCTGCACCTGTTGAGGATGCTTATAAGGTTGTTGTGGAGACTGCAGAAAAGCTTTCAAAAGAAGTTGCAGAATGTTTGAAAGATATGACATTTGATCTGAATTCAACTGCATTCAACATTGGTTTGCAAATTATTCATACCATACCTTCACTACTTCAGGTAGTTGTTTCAAACCATTTATATATCTCTAATGGAATATACTTTTGTAGTAAAAGTGTTTTTATATTGTCTTATATACTTTTTACAACTACCAAAGTACTTTTTATATAGACAACCTGACTCCGTTAATGATCATAGCATGTCTCAATTGTTATGATGAGTGGTGCATAACTGCATATAGATGTTTCTAAGACTGTCATTGCAAATTTGTCCCTTCACTTCATACAGGCTTAGTTGCTTGGCAGTGTTCTTAGAAAATCCATTCCTAGTGGCTTTCATATGAACTAGACTAGACAATGTGACTTCTATATTAAATTTTTAACTTATTCTTATGCATGATTAAAATAATATAATTATGTTTTGTAGGGAACACCAGGATTGGAGTATGCTAACAAATGAGGATTTGAAGCATTACAGAAGATCTGTAGGAAAATGATAACTTGTAACAGAGGCAAGGTAAATTCCCTTTTTGGGTAACCAAGTAATGACAAATGAATAGGCATACTCAGCAATTACTGAATATTCAAGTTTTAACGAAAGGTGTTCAAGTTTGATGGTGGCTATTAAAGATTCTTAAGTTTCTCTTGATTTGAGAGGTGTGTTGGGGTGGGGTGGGGGAATTTGAAAGTAACAGACTATTACATAGGATTTATCTTGAGTCAGGATTTTCTGACTTGCTACTTTTCGGGCCAGACAGACAGCAACTGTATCCTAGGATCAGAGCCATCAGATGGTATGAATCCTTTTGTTGGAATGATTTTTCATTTTTTTTTCTGTTCCCACATTGAAGCTGTGGTCAATGCTCCATCTGCTCCAATTGTAAATAAACCTATCCTAATTCCAAAGAATCACTACTTGTCCCACTCATGCCAGAGCCCCTGAAGGTATTATAATCCATTCCTAAAGATTAGCAGTGTGATCTATTCAAGTATATATTGGAGGAGAAAAGTAAAGTCAAGTCCAATAATCCCCAAGGGAAGAAATAAATTGATGAAGAGAACCATTCTTAAACAGTTTATCAGATTCTGGACTTTAAAACTTTGGCAGCATTGCTCTCCTCACTGTTTAGTGAGAAACCTTTTTCTGGATTAGCAATGTACAAATTTCTAAACTGGACTGGTGTTTGGTTGTTGAGGGTATGTCATTAGTGTTGTTAATTGGTTAGGTGGTCTGTCTTTTAAGCTGTTGGCTTAAAGTCAATTTTGTTCTGTTTTGATGTAAAAATGGGTTTAGTTGATAATTTATGCTGGGTGACTTCTTGTGACCTTTCTTATAACTTCCTTTTTTCTTTTAATAATTTTTTTACTATCAAAAAAATATTGAATGTGAAATCCAAGTTACCATTTATGGAGACCAAGTGTTGGTTTGATCAGTCAACCAAGAAAAGAAATGAATAAAAAGAGTAGAGGAATGCAATGGTTTATATGGATGTAGCCATGCCATTTCATCACTCCCTCAAACTAATAAAAAACTAATATGAATAAGTAGAGTTTGATCCAGATTCACCAGATCAACTTGAAGTCTTAAGGGGTGTCTTGATGTGGTTTGAGCTAGTTTCGGGTTTGAAAATCAATGAATTAAGTGAGTATGCAAGTGTGCTAGGGTGTGCAATGTCAGTTTGGCCTTTGAAGTACTTGGGCCTCCCCTTAGGAGATAATCCTAAGAATGGAAGCTTCTGGAACCCGGTAGTGGAGAGATTTGAGAAGAGGCTTGCATCCTGGAGGAAAAGTCATCTTTCCTTGGGGGGGAGAATCACCTTGATTGGATCTACCCAAGCTAACCTTCCGGTCTACTTTCTGTCAGTGTTTAAGATCCCCACTAAAGTTTCCAATCTTTTGGAAAAATTAATGAGGAACTTTCTTTGGGAGCCTGGAGAGGAGAAGAAAGACCATAGGGTGAGTTGGGAGGTGGTATCTAGAGGTAAAAAGTTAGGAGGCCTTGGGATTGGTAACATTAAGAAAAGGGATATGGCTTTGCTAGGGAAATGGTTATGGAGATTTACAATGGAAAAAGATAAGTTGTGGGCTAAGATTGTAGCTAACATTCATGGGCTGGAAGACAATGGCTGGGATCCTGGAACCGCTACAAGGGCTACAATTGCTTCTCCTTGGAAATCCATTGATGCTTTGCTTCCTGCTTTCTCCCCTTGGGTCAGGTATGGTCTTAACTCTAGTAATCGAATAAAATTTTGGGAACAGACTTGGGTAGGGGATTCACCTCTGAAGGACTAGTTCCCCTCCTTGTGTGCTTTGTCAGACTTGAAAAATGAGCCTATTTCTTCTTTCTTAGGTCCTTCAAATTCCATATTTGGTTTTGGTTGGAACCTAGGCCTGAGAAGGGCAATTAGGGATACAGACGTGGACAATATCTTATCTTTGTTGTCCATCCTTGAGAATGTCTTTCTGGATCCTAATAAGGAGGATACTAGAATCTGGACTCCTTCCACCTTAGGTACTTTCTCTTGTGCTTCGTTTTTTGAAACTCTAACCCAACCTCCTGTCACTTTAGGAGCGTCCTTTCTGGTCAAAGAGATTTGGAGCAAGCCCATTCCTCCTCGGGTTGGTAGTTTTTGTTGGGAAATTTTCCTGGAAAGATCTAACACATTTGATTTACTTCAAAAAAAAAAACCCAACTCTTGCTTACTTCCTAATTGGTGTACTCTTTGTAAAGCTGATGGGGAAACTGGTTACCACCTTATGGTTTCTTGTAAGGTTGCTAAAACTGTTTGGGAGTGGGCTCTTTCCCTCTTTGGGTGTTCTTGGAATCCTCCCAAGAGTGTCCAAAAGCTGTTCTCTCTTACGTTCTTCAGCTGGCCTAAGAAGAGAGGGAAGATTATGTGGAGGAGCATTAGGGCAGCCGTATGTTGGTCCCTTTGGGAAGAAAGAAATCTACGAATTTTCTCAGACAAGGACAGATCCCTGGCAAACCTATTAGATCTAATTCTCTTAAGGGCTGTCCATTGGCTAAAATCTATGGAGCAGTTTTCAGACTTTCCTGTGGCTGACTTATTAAGAAACTGGAAAGAGATAGCTACTTCTGCTATGTGTAAGAGGTCTCCTAGTCACTTATGGTCCCCTCCTCCCTTTGGATGTATAAAACTGAATTTTGATGGCTGTAGTTTGGGGAATCCAGGACCTTCTGGGATTGGGGGAGTGTTCAGGAATGAGGAGGGGGTTATTATTGCTTTGTTCTCAGGCCCCATTGGAGAAGGAGATTCTCTCAGGGCTGAGATCCTTGCAGCTCTAGAAGGAATTCAAAGAGCAAGGGAGCTAAATATCAGACGCTTGGTCTTGGAAGGTGACTCAAAGGTGGTGATTAGCTAGCTGAAGGAAGAGGACAGTGGCTTGTGGAGATATAACAATGAAAAGAAAAAATTCTGTTGGGTGGGTAGAGACATTGAGATACACTATAGCTGGGTGGAGAGGTCTGCTAACTCACTTGCAGATGGGCTGGCCAAGCAGGGGGTGAATAGGGAGGCTATTTCCTGGGCTAATTTTTGAACTTCTGTCTTTGTATTCTGTTGCAGGGGAGTTACGTCTTTTTACCTCCCCTGTTGTATCTAAATCTTCTTAAATTTTCACATCATTAATAAAGTTTTTCTGTTATTGATCAAAAAAAAAATCAATGTAGAAAAGTTCAATTGTCCTGTGGGCCAGGTTGGGGGGGGGGTGGAGAGTCTTTCTGAAGTGCTGGCTTGTAAGTTGGGTGGATTATTTCCTCTTAAATATCTGGGCTTGCCATTGTGCAAGATGCTTGACTGCAACAATATGGAACCCATTTATTGCACGGATGGAAAAGAAACTTGCATGTTGCCTTTTGGGAAGCCAGATATCTATCTTAAGGGGGTAGAGTGTTCTGCTTAAGAGTACCTTGACTAGCTTACCTACATACTATAATACTATATGCCACTCTTCCCCATCCCAATGAAGATAGGAAAAAGGATTGAGAAAATCCAAAGAGATTTCCTTTGGGACAAAATCCATGTAGTCAACTGGGACCAAATCTGCCTCCTCGAGGAAGGTGGCCTAGGCATTAAAAGGATCAAGGATTTCAATGTGGCATTAATTGAGAAATGGATTTGGCGATTTGGAGTAAATGGGAGGTTTGGTGGAGGAGACTGATTGCTACAAAATATGGAGTCCCAATAGATGACTGGACTTCAGTTGACCCTTTCACCTCCTCTGGCAACTCAGTTTGGAAGGCTATTCTGAAAACATACAGTATTTTCTCAAAAGGAATAGAATTTGGGTTGGGAGATGGAGGTAGACTGAAGTTCTGGCAAGACAGGTGGTGTTTAGACAGGCCTTTAGAGGAAGTTTTTCCTAAGTTATGTACGCTTGTAGCTAAAAAGATACTTCTGTGGCTGAATCCTATCAACTGACAGGTGGGAGTGTGACATGGTCTTCTGATCTTCACAGGAACGTCTATGACTGGGAGTTGGACAATGTGCTGGAGCTGCTTTGGATTCTGAGAAACCAATTTGAGGGTTGGCCAAGATGATGAGCGGGTTTGGGAATGGGAGGGAAGTGGAATTTCTACTGTCAAATCTTTTGTTAAAAATCTGAGGGCCAACATACCTATCCTAGTAATGTGGTTTGAAGATTACTTGTGCTATCTAAAGTTGGATTTTTGTTGTTGTTTGCGACTTTAGAGGGGCATTTAACTAAATGATAACCTATTGAGAAGGGCCTTTAGTGTTGTGTAGGAAGGACATGGAGAGTGTTGCCTATCTTTTCATCCATGCAAGCTGGATAGAATGTTATGGCTGCATTTTATTAAGGCTGCTGATTTGAGCTGGGCAGTGCCAAAGACATTGAAGGAGCTGTTATTAACCTGGCCAATCCAGGGGCTGAGCAGCAAAAGTTGACTACTTTGGAAGCTGGTCCCTGCAGCAATCATGGACCATATGGATTGAAAGGAATATGAGAATTGTCAACAACAGGAACAGGACTGAAGATGAGCTTATCAGTTTGTCGATTCTCAATTGGTAGACTGAGGTTTTTGGTTTCTGTATCTGAGGAATTCTCCCTTCATCCTGAAATGCAGCTCCTCCAGGCTCCAATCTGTTGTTTCGTTGAGTCATGAGTCTGTGATTAAATTTGTATTTGGGGTGCTGCCTTAGTATGGGGTGGTCCCTGAGGATCTATTGTATCATTAGCTCTTTGATATTTGAATAGAATTTACTTTAGCCTTCTCAAAAAAAGGAAAAAAAAAAAGAATGAGTAAAGTTGTCCTATTTCAGGTTGGGCCCAGTCCCTCTCATTGTGTTTCATTAGGTAGGTTAGGGTCCTTTTATAGAGTGCAAGTTACCTATTCAGTCTCTGCTAAAATTTCACTTTTCTATTTTCATTGATTTCATGAAGAACATGTAATATAACCCTCTTTGTCACCCTTGCCAATCCATTAACAATGTAAACAAAAACAAAAGAAAGGGAGTAAAGACGAATTTCAAACCA